GAGTCCGGCCTCTGTGAGAGTGACATTAAGAGTCCGGCCTCTGTGAGAGTGACATTAAGAGTCCGGCCTCTGTGAGAGAAACCATCAGAGTCCGGCCTCTGCGAGAGTTACATTAAGAGTCCGGCCTCTGTGAGAGTGACATTAAGAGTCCGGCCTCTGTGAGAGAGACCTTCAGAGTGACCATCAGAGTCCGGCCTCTGTGAGAGTGACATTAAGAGTCCGGCCTCTGTGAGAGAGACATTAAGAGTCCGGCCTCTGTGAGAGAGACCTTCAGAGTGACCATCAGAGTCCGGCCTCTGTGAGAGTGACATTAAGAGTCCGGCCTCTGTGAGAGTGACATTAAGAGTCCGGCCTCTGTGAGAGAGACCTTCAGAGTGACCATCAGAGTCCGGCCTCTGCGAGAGTGACATTAAGAGTCCGGCCTCTGTGAGAGTGACATTAAGAGTCCGGCCTCTGTGAGAGTGACATTAAGAGTCCGGCCTCTGTGAGAGAGACCTTCAGAGTGACCATCAGAGTCCGGCCTCTGTGAGAGTGACATTAAGAGTCCGGCCTCTGTGAGAGAGACATTAAGAGTCCGGCCTCTGTGAGAGAGACCTTCAGAGTGACCATCAGAGTCCGGCCTCTGTGAGAGTGACATTAAGAGTCCGGCCTCTGTGAGAGTGACATTAAGAGTCCAGCCTCTGTGAGAGAGACCTTCAGAGTGACCATCAGAGTCCGGCCTCTGTGAGAGTGACATTAAGAGTCCGGCCTCTGTGAGAGTGACATTAAGAGTCCAGCCTCTGTGAGAGAGACATTAAGAGTCCAGCCTCTGTGAGAGTGACATTAAGAGTCCAGCCTCTGTGAGAGTGACATTAAGAGTCCAGCCTCTGTGAGAGAGACATTAAGAGTCCAGCCTCTGTGAGAGAGACCTTCAGAGTGACCATCAGAGTCCGGCCTCTGTGAGAGTGACATTAAGAGTCCGGCCTCTGTGAGAGTGACATTAAGAGTCCGGCCTCTGTGAGAGAGACATTAAGAGTCCGGCCTCTGTGAGAGAGACCTTCAGAGTCCGGCCTCTGTGGGAGAGACCTTCAGAGTCCGGCCTCTGTGGGAGAGACCTTCAGAGTCCGGCCTCTGTGAGAGAGACCATCAGAGTCCGGCCTCTGTGAGAGTGACATTAAGAGTCCGGCCTCTGTGAGAGAGACCTTCAGAGAGACCATCAGAGTCCGGCCTCTGTGAGAGTGACATTAAGAGTCCGGCCTCTGTGAGAGTGACATTAAGAGTCCGGCCTCTGTGAGAGAGACCATCAGAGTCCGGCCTCTGTGAGAGAGACCATCAGAGTCCGGCTTCTGTGAGAGAGACCATCAGAGTCCGGCCTCTGTGAGGGAGACATTAAGAGTCCGGCTTCTGTGAGGGAGACCTTCAGAGTCCGGCCTCTGTGAGGGAGACATTAAGAGTCCGGCTTCTGTGAGAGAGACCATCAGAGTCCGGCCTCCGTGAGAGTGACGTTAAGAGTCCGGCCTCCGTGAGGGAGACCTTCAGTCCGTCTATGGAACCTGATGACAGAAACTGATCCTGAATCTGAAATCTGTTTCTAACAGGTGTGCTCCAGTCCACCTGGGTTCAGCAACAGAGCTTTCAGCCCTGAGTCGTCCTCGCAGTCAGAGGGTTTCCACGGCCAACAGGGAGTCTACACCAGGAGACACTCGCTGCTTCCTCCCCCTTCATCATCATCAAACATCTTCATCAGAGACCCTGCAGGAAGACCCAGACATCTCTCTGAGCTGCTTCCTGTCACAGAAAAACCAGAAGGTCCACCTGAGGCCACAGAAACCTACTGTCTGGCTCTACGGAAAACAGGTGTGTCCACTGGTGTGTCCACAGGAGTCCACAGTGATGACATCACAGCCACGCTTCAGAGAGACGACGACACGAAAACAGACCAGTTAAAGGAGACGTTACAGAAGTCAGAGGACACGTAGTGGACAACGTGTGATTGGTCTGTCAGCAGACCAGGAAGAGGACACTGACACTCCTCTCTGCAGCCAATCACAGAGCAGAAACACAATACTCTGACACCTCTCTGCAGCCAATCACAGAGCCTTGGCTGAACAGAGCATCATGTTTACTGTGGTTTTCATGGAGACGGATGTTTTATGATCACAAATAAAAATGTGTGAACATGTTTGTTTCCTGATTCATTTCCTGTCGTCTGCGTAACGAGGCGTCCTCACACTGATCACTGGGTTTAATACTGACCAGGTGATCAACAGGTTCCAGCCTTCCATCAGCGACCAATCAGCAGGAAGGAAGAACTGAAGGAGCTGCAGCTTCCCCTGCTGGCCACAGGGACACATCACCATCTCTGACTCTGAAGAATCAAGAACACTTCAATGTGTAATGTTGTGGTTGTTGTGGTGGTTGTGGTGGTGGTGGTGGTTGTGGTTGTGGTGGTGGTGGTTGTGGTGGTTGTTGTGGTGGTTGTGGTGGTGGTTGCGGTGGTGGTGGTGGTTGTGGTTGTGGT